ATGATGCCTCCAATTGGTGGGGGTCATTTGAGTATTGGATTATACTGATTGTTGTAGTGTGCTTACTTTTGTGCTGCTTGCCTGTTATAGCCGGATGCCTCTTGAAAGTAATGATCTCCACGTTCAAAAATGTTATGTCTCAGCTACAAGTGCTGAAGGACACACACCCACAACGACACCTTCTTTAAAACAAAAAGGGGGATTTGTTAGGGTGAATGTCTCACGGTCTCATGAGAGCTCTGTTGAGGGAACTTTCCCATGGGAGTTCTAGCTTCTATCAGTAGAAGCTGAGGGTCACAACATAGTTGCGTGGCAAAAATAAGGAAGTCTCCCAGGACCTCTCCTTTGCTGACATGCAGCTCCCACGGTTGGTTCGGCTCTCCTCTCAATGGGAGATGAGTCCTGACACGAGCTCCAGCAGACCTGATGATTGGCTATCACAGGGGGATCACGCTTTGAACATGCATCACTAGGGCCATAAAAGTCAGCTAACTGCACTCAATAAACGGAGCTTCTGCCACCTTGCTGTCTCCCGCCTCATCCATGCGTCTCCAGGTTACAGAGCATTGAGCTGGTCTCATGCTCATCACTGCAGTGGCCGCGTCAGGCAGGCCTGTGATAGCAGTGTAAGTCAGATTCAGCCATAGGCTACCTATCTGAAAGTGCACACTGAGCCTACTTCCCCTCTATAGGGACATTTTTTTTTTTAGAAAGTCCCAGCAATGACATTGTAGTCACTGCTTCTTAAAGAATATGAGCTATATATCAGATTACACGCCGTCTTGGGAAGGCAGGGAAAGAAAATCTAAAACTCAAAAGCTTATGTAAGTGATTGTTCAAAACTAAAAATAAATTAATTAAAAATATTTAATAAATTAAAAAAAGAATATAGGCTGGTCACGTGCATAAGCAGGAGAGATCCTCCATACTCCCCTGGTTGTTGTTTTTTGTCCTTCATTCTCAAAGAGGACCAATGATATCAGAAGGGTGATGTCTTAACTTGCAAGTGAACTGGATTTAAGTGAGGCAGGGCTGTGTAAAGCCATCAGCCTCACTCTCTCCTCCAGAGTCATCAGAGTCCAGTGGCAAGACAGGGTCAAGACAACTGGCAATAGCCCCCTGACTCCACTGGTATCATGATGATGCTGGAAGGAAGTGAAAAAAGCACACCCCTCACCTCCCCAGCATGTTGTGTGGACTTGCTGTGGTGAACTGATGAGAGGACATAGACAAGTCCCCCAAGATAAGACAGAGGAAACAGTCACTCTGACAAGATCATGGATTCATTTAAATATTTAAGCACCTGGGTCCAGCCTTGGGGCACTTTCCATGATTTGACAGATATTTGTATCCTGCCCATAATCCAAAATCTCTCCACTCTCTCCTTCCCATCTTCCTGCAAAAAAAATGCTCTCAATTTTCCTCCATCCTAAAGAAAGAAAAAGGAAGGAAAGAAGGAAGGAAGGGAGGGAGGGAGGAAGGGAGGGAGGGAGGAAGGGAGGGAGGGAGGAAGGAAGGAAGGAAAGAAGGAAGGAAGGGAGGAAGGGAGGGAGGAAGGAAGGGAGGGAGGGAGGAAGGCTCCTCTTCCCTCTTCTATCTTCTCTGGCTATCTCCCCATTTCTCTCCTCCTCTTTGTTAATAAAGGTCTTAAGGAATTTCTCTAGACTAGAGGTTCCCAGAGGCCCCAACGCTGTAGTGGTATTGACACCATTCCACCATGCCCCACTGTCCAGGGGTTGGTACAAGCCCAGGCTCTTACCTCCTCCTGTCCCAGTGCCTCAGTCTGAGCCCACCAGGATCTCCTCATCTACCTTTAAAGGGCAGTGGAAATGAAGAAGGCCTTTCTTTCTGGCCACTGTGAACTTGTGCTTAAATAGTCTTGTGCATGAGATAAGATACAGGGTCTTTTTATTACAGGAAAACTAGGAGAAGACCAACAATTTCAGCCAAGTTCTTAGTTACATTTGAATCTCCATATCAGAAAACAATTAAGCTGTCTCTATATTAGAAATGAGACAAGCCCGATGGTCAGTAACAGCTTAACAATAACAGTCAGCACCAGTGAATTTGGACTGCTCTCAGCTTTAAGGGTTGGGAGTAGATGGCATTAACAGAAATATTTAGGGGTAGGTTGAAAGGATCTGTTAACAGGACGTTTGGCCCCCACAAACCTGTGAATTAATAGAGCTAACATTCAGGCTCAGTGATCATGTGGACTAAAGGAAGAAGAGATAGGCTAAGGCAGATAGATGGCTCAATGGATAGAGTACGGGCTTGAAGTCAGGAAGACCTGAGTTCAAATCTGGCCTCAGACACTCACTAGCTGCATGACCTTGGGCAAGTCACCTAACCTCTGTTTGCCTTAATCCACTGGAGAAGAAAAAGGCAAACCATTCCAGTATCTTTGCCAAGAAAACCCCATATGGGGTCAGAGTCAGACACGACTGAACAACAACAAAATACTGAACATAGATTAGGGGATAAGAAAGTTCCCTTCACAATTGGGGTTAGTATCTCCCCTCTCCAGTCACCCATCCTAGCCTCCATCCTTGTAGTATTGCCCCCCATCACCACTGGCCTCAAGGGCATAGACAAGAGCCACCTAATCCGAGGGTTCATCACAAAGATCTCAGAAAATGAAGCTAACCCACTTCCAAATGACTGGCTTCCACCCATCATCTCATACCACTACTTATCTCCAGGGGAACACTGGTCTCACTCCTAATAAAGCTTTCCATCCTCCCAAAATAATGGGAGATGAGTCCGTCAGTCATTCACAACAGATGCTAGGAAACCTTGCTGCAGGCTTATAACTGCTATCAGCCTCAGAGCCCTGTGCCTGGCTCTTTACACCATACTTCCTGCAGCAACTTCCCCCAGCTCTGAGTGCCAAAGCTCTTGCTTGGTGTCTGGACCAAGGATTATACAGGATAGAACTCCTTGCTTGATCAATGCAGAACCTTTGTATAAATAAGGATCCCAACAGGCCTTGAAAAATGCCTCTGAGGATGACAGACCATTGCTGCAACTGCCAAAGTCCACCTGCCATTTAAAAAAAAAGGAAGACAAATAACTCTGAGGTGGAACAGGGCTCCAGCAGAATTTGTCAGAATAAGGTGAAGATGCAGATACCAAGGCTGTGGGCTCCCCAGCTGCTTACGCAGTAAGCACATCTCATCTCCCCAGCTAACTTGGATGCTCTGAGTAAGAAGAGATGGTCTTTGTTATCTCCACCACTCCCACAGTCCCTTGGCCTCAGAAGGTAAAGACTGATGGACTGCACTGAGTTCTCATGTTGTTTGTGGAATTCTCATTAAGGTTCACTTTGGAAGTACTATATTTATGCAGAAGAAATAAGTGCTGTTTTTTTTTTCTTTCTAGGAATTAAACTTGAAATACACTGGTCATCTTCAAATTCATAGACAGTCCTTCCTTGATCAGTGGCTGAAGAGATGGCATTCTTTAGAGGCACTGGCCTGCCATCTCATGGTGAAAGTGGGTAACTGCTGAGTGGCTCTTGGGGATCAGCATAACCATGGAATCTAATGGTGCAATGTTTTGCCATTGGGTTAAGCCAATATGAGTTGTAGTTGAAGGCTTTAAGACATGGATTTCATGTTCAATGGATGCTAATGAAGAAGATCTGCTTGAATTCAAAGTTAAGAACAGTGAATTTTTTGTAACACTGAAGACCAAGTTGACGAGGAAGATCGTGACGCGGAGTCTTGTCTCTACGCCCTTCTCTCCACTCTCACTGCCATCCCCCTAGCTCAGGCTCTAGATGCCTTTTTCCTTGACTGTTACGGTGATTTCATAAGTCTTCCTGCCTTCAATCTCTCCCCTGCCCAACTGGTCTTTCCCACAACTGCCAACACCATTTTCCTAAGACACTTGACCATCACTCATAATCTGATTCCTCTCCTTTTGCCCCTGGAGATAGCCATCAGCACCTCTGCAGCTACCATGACCTCAGCATGGTAACCTAGATGCAGGAGTTATACAAGTTTGATGCCTACACCAAGTTGGAGAACCTGCCACACTTGGTAGAACTTCAGCAGCACTACCTGGGTCTCATTGACAGACATTGCCCTCTGTTGGTAACAGCCTCCACTTGAGCCCAGGACCCTGAACTCCTATGCATCCCAGCCATGTTCGCCTGCCTCCCCACAGGGTGACCAGCCCAGCCCCCTTCATGCCCCAGCCCACCCACAGACCCCTGTCACCCTATGTCACTTCTATCCTTGGACAGTAAGTGTCCACCTGGGATGACAACCCCTTTGGATCCTGAAGGTACTGGATGGCACATCCCCACCATTTGCATCATCATTATCTTTATGCCCATCCCTTGCCTATCTTCTACCTATCGCCATCACAAACCCCATCCTCACTTCCTCATCATCGCCAACCATGGGGCGCCCATCCCTTTTATGCGCTCCATCTTCATCATCATGGCTAGCCAGCATGACCTACTGTTCCCTTCAGTCGCAGACAGGGTCTTAATACTCCTGCCCAAGAAATAAGTTCTTCCGAAACCTTAAATAAAAAAAGAAAAGGAAGTGGCCTAGTTACATAGCAAGGAAGCAAAGACGGAATAACAGACAGCCTGAAGACTACTCCATGAAAGACCTAAAGAAAGATCTCTGGGTAGATCCTCCACGGGAGGACACAGATAAGACTCACAAAGGATGAAAAGACGAGGATGTACTGTGAGGAAGCACCCCTATCCATGAGTTCATGGCATCATCACAGTATCCAGGTATTGTTTAGAGGGGCAGGTCACAGATTTTGGCAAATACTCTGAGTGGGTGGGGTACATGAGTAAGTAGGAGAAATTTAAGGCAATAGAGTAAATGCTACTTAACAACAACAACAAAAAGGGTAGCTGTCAATCACGCCTGGTCTCCCCCTTCCTACCCACAGGAATTTAAAGATACTTATAGACTAGAGAGAGGCATTGGTCATACAGGTTTTCAGGTAGTGCAGTGAATAGAGTGTTGGAGTTGGAGTCAGGGAAGATTTATTCTCCAATCCTGCCTCAGATACCATGTGGCATTTAGTCAACGTGCATACAGGCAAAAAAAAAAAAAGGCTATTGACTGTTAACATTATCTTATTCGTAAATTGTCAGTCATGTGATACCTGTCCATGTATGCCTTTCTTTTATTTTGTACGTCTTGTACGTTATCATCTTTTTCACCATATTTAGGTAAGCCCCTGTTGTATCACGTCCAGCTTCTGCTAACACATTCCAATAATGGATAAGATGGAGCTTTATCCAGAAGGTTGGCTTTGTGGTTTGGGATATTATGGTCAGGGTTCTGTTAAAACAACACATTAAGAAAATAGTACATAAGCTGGTATTTGAAAGAAGTTATTCTTAAGTTACTTATGAAATAAGACCTTACCCAATTTATATTTTCCTGAGTCAACATGATTTAGGTTCTCAAGTTGAACATGGTACCCATCATAACCTTTAGGTAATGATTTGTATCTAGCCAGGTTGAGTAGCCAGGTCTGAATGTGAATTGGCCCCTAAAGAATGGATTGATAGGAAAAACAGATAAGGATTCAGACCTTTTCTTTTTTTTTTTTAATTTTACCCTAAGATAGAAAATACAACCACTCTTACAGATCTAAACACAGAGGACTGTCCATGGACAAAAGGGATAAATCCACTGAGTTTTTAAAATGTCACAACTATAGCCTGGAAAGCAGATTTGTTTGCATGTTGCTTCCTCCTTAGACTGTAAGCTCCTTGAGGGCAAAGGCTATTTTTGCTTTTCCTTGTATCTCCAGTGCCTAGCACAGTGCCTATCACCTAGAAGGTACGTAATAAAAGCTTGTTGTTGACTTGCCTAAAATCTATAACAAGGAAGTAAACTTCACAAATCACTAGTTTATGTTTCAATTTATATCTTTCTCCAAAGATGATAATTCATTTAAATAAACATATCTACTTTGATTACAGCTTATAGTGATTATTAGCAAAAAAAAGAATTAGTGTTGTCTAAGCGACAGAGAAGGTGGTAACCTGCATTGGTAGGAGGACTTTCCTTACTTGGGAGTTCTCTACACCAAAAACTCACAGGATTAGTCTTGTCCTTATTCTTTAATTTCACGTTCTACCTTTTGCCCAAAGGAAACCACCAAAGCTCAAGCTTTTTTATGTTAGCCCCTCTGAATAATAACAAACCTTAAATAGGATTGTGAACAGAATTGATGAATCTCCTAAAGTACTAGACACGAGCAGTAGTTAGTCCTCAGCCCAAAGGAGTAAACACGGATTCTCCCCCCTTTTTGAAAGGGGCACTCTTTTAAATGGGCTGTGCATTATTTTTAAAAACCTTGCAAGAATGAGTAAGTCCCCATCCCTTTCTCTGAGTCCCACCAATGACCGTCTTTGAGCACTCAGAGACTTTTATCTCTTCAACAACCTGAGTTGTTTTTTTTGCTGTTTAGTCAATTAGTCATGGCGGCCCTTGACCCCATTTGGGGTTAACAGATGTGTGTATGGTACTGTCAAGTACTGTCTCAGGTCAGCTTTGGGCAGTTCTGAGAGAAATGTCTGGCAGATCCACTTCACAAAGTCCCTGCTAATGGTTTGGTGGTTGGGGTTCCCTCACCCAAGCCCCTCCCTGCCCCAACATTCCAATCAAATATGAAGTGTTCAGATTCCTCTCTAAGTCAAGACTTCCTAACCTTTCCTGGTGGCCCAGTACTCAGAGACTGAAGTTAGAACTTTGAATGAACTGAGAAGATAGGAGAAGGCAACAGAGGAAGGCAAAGGAGAATACTCACTTTTTTAACATGGCTTTCAATAGGAAAAGCCCCATCAACCACCACCACCATGCATTAAACCCTGACTACAAAAGAGTTACAAAATGAAAGGAATAATATTCTGAAGAGCCTTGCTGACTACAGGGACAACTACAGAGAAAAGAAGACACCTTGGATCTGAATTTTCTTGAGTGCCTCTTTTGGAAAGAGAGCTTTGTGCCAACTAAGTTAACCCCCAAAAGCCCTTCTAAAATCTAAGAAGGCAAGCAAAATTATTTCCAATATACCGCTTAATACTTATTAGAGCTACCATATTGGTTTTGGGTCAGGTTTCTAAATACTGCAGAGTTGCATTTTTGTTATATTGTTACCTTTGTGATAAAGATAGAGAGTGAACCTATGATTTCAGTTTTAGCTGGTAGAAGTAACTCCATCTACCAATCTACCAGGTTCAAATCTTCTCTTAGACAATTGCCCATAGCTCTCAAAGGCTAAGTGATGGGGCCAGGGTCACCAAGCCAGTATGTGTCAAAAGCAGTACTTGAACTTAGGTCTCCCTGCTCCCAAGGCTGGCCCCTAGGTAGTACAATAGAGAAGAACACTGGACTTGGAGTTAGGAAGGACCTCAGGTCAAATCCAGCTTCAGATACTTAGTAGATGTGTGAACCTGGGCAAGCCATTTACTAGCCTTCAGCCTCAGTTTCCTTATCTGTAAAATGGAAATAATAATACTTCCCAGGGTTGTTGTGAAGATAAAACAAGGTCATATTTATAAAGCGCTTTTCAAAACATGAAGTGCTATAATAAACGCCAATATTATAGTTAGAGAAGTTTGTAATTATTCAGTCTTTGCTTTTATGACATATTACAGGTCAAAGCTATGATTCATCCTTGATGTTAAGTCCTTGGAAGGAAACACAACCCCTCCAATTTTATTATTTTTTCTATGGGAAAGTGTCCTTTACAGAAATCTGCTCTAAAGATGGTTTGCTAGCAGGTGCTGCTACATTGAAAATCCTTTATAAAAAGCAACAGATGCTTCTCTTTGCTGAGTAGCCAACAGTTTTCTAGAAATTAGATGAGTGCTCCTTCCTATACCCTAAACAAATGTCAGTTTCTCTTTTTAAGACTTTTAATAGTTAAGTTCAAAATAAAAAGAAAATAAAACAAAAAAATGCTTGATTAAACTCTTACTAAAATTGGGCAAAATTTCAGGAATCAGAGAGTATGTCGGAAAGAAAAAAAAATTCCTGGAAAGTCACCGAAATGTAAGATTCCTGATTTATATAAAAGTATGTACTGAATTGGCCCCACTGGACAAACTGAAACACTGGCAAAAGGAAGTCCACCTTCCTTCTCCAAGTATGGGCTCTGGTTGCATCCCCTTTTCTTCTGGTCTTTCCAGACTGGTTTCCAACTCTCCGAGGCAGAGAGGGGAATGTGTGATGGCCAGTGGTATCTTGCTCTTACAGATGGCAGGGAATGGTATGGGATGTTGTACAAACTGACGAAAAGAATCCCCTCCCTGCCTTCATAGCAAGTGTGCCCAGCATCTCCCCCGCCCCAACCCCAGCACAAGACAAAAACAAAGCCTTGAGGCCTTCCACAAAGCAGAATCACATGAACATGGCGACACTTACTTGGGATTTGTGAGAAAATTACATAGTTCCTCCCAGTTGCCACTCATTTTCAGATTCCACGGCAACTCTGCATACGCTCTCCAAAAGCTGCTTTGTCCCTGGAAGAACTGAGTCAAGATCCGATGTAAATTTGTTTTCTTGCAATTCACGGGGTTCTGAAAGGAATATGGACTGCTTTCTCTGACAGGCGTGATTATACCTAGTTCAAAACCAGTCACAGGTTAACCACTTTCCCATTCTTCTCAGTTGTGTCCAATCTACCTAAAGCCTACCACGTGAAAGACAGGACCTGCAAATTTAGTTTAGGACCAGGGAGGCCGGGAAAGTCAAGTAGATGGAACCAGAAAGGCTCATATAAGTTAGTCTGGATCCGGGAAGAAGGAGCCCCATTAATTATCCCTGGGGCTATCGACTGGGTAGAATATAAACATTCCCTCCAACAGCAACTATTTTTCATCTGGGTCAAGAGTTCACAACCTGGTTTCCATTAACTTTTAAAAAAATATTTTGATCAATGTACTTGAATATAATTTGTTTTCCTTTTTAATCCTAATGTATTTTATTTGATGCATTTAAAAACATGACTCTGACAAGGGCTTGATAGAATTCACCAGACGGAGAGCCAGAGGCATCTAAGACACCAAACAAAGGAGACTAGTCCCTGATCAATGAATCTATCTGAACATCTAGCAATCACGTATAAAATTAAGTCTCTACTGAAAGCACGTGGCCTCTGGTGGCCATTAAAATCTGCCACTTCAGAAGTAACAATCTTCCATTCTCTGAGTCTCACAAAGGCCAAGTTACCATGGTGTGGCAACTTCAAAGTCAAGAGAAAGACTAAATAAAGACAAAGTTACAATATTTACATGTAGCATTCCCTAGAAAAGACACTGATGGATAATAACAGCTGGAAATGGTCACATGAAAACAATGGAGATGTTTCATAGGTTTTATAGAAATCTAGAATATGAACATCCCATCTGGGGGCTGTGAACAGCAATCACTTATGAATGACGCCATAAGCCTAGGGAAACTTGTTCCAGCAGTAATTCAGATTTGTTACTGAAATATTATCCAGAGCTCATACCTGTTTGAGAGAAATATGGTCCCTAGTAGCAAGTGGGCAGAAAGACCATTTAATCAGGACCCCCTCCACCCCAGGTCCTCGCTCGCATTTGCACAACAAAGGTTATTTCTGAGGGAAATAGGCTTGGAGAGGATATGGAAGAAGACTTGCAAATTCTGGTTTGGCTCCCAGGATGTAAACTGGGAATGACATGAAGGGTATGAATAGGTTCATATTTGCCAACAGCACACAACCTAAATTATAGGAATGAATCATGACTATACTGTACTTACATTCTTGGTCTAACAGCCAGGCTTAACGGCAAATAGGGAGAGGGAAGAAAATAGGGTCACAACTCTCTAGTTCCCTCTTTCTCACAATGCACTCGGCTCCCCAGAGTTCCTTCAGTTCAGTTCAGCTTCCGGGTCCATCCAGTCAAGGATGAGGACTGCCTCTAGCTCTCAAGATGAGAGTGATTAGGGGTGGGAGAAAGGGAATTCCAGCCATGCCTAGAAAAGGCAGACCTGACTAGAATCCCAACAGCAAGGCAGAGAGGTCAGCACAAGTGGTCACTGCCCCAGTATTCCTATGAGGCAACTGGCATCATGCAAAGAGCCCTGGACTATGAGTCCTTGTGCTCACTCTGTCACTATTTAGCCAGGTGATCTTGGACAAGCCATTGTCCTTCTCTGGGTCTCAGTTTCTTCCTCCATAAAAAATGAGATTGGACTAAACGAGGTGACCTTAGACAAGCCATTGTCCTTCTCTGGGCCTCAGTTTCTTCCTCCATAAAGTGAGACTGGACTAGACAATCTCCAAAGTTTCTTCAGGCTCTTGAATTCTAAGATTTGAGGGCTCTAAAATTTTGGTTTGATCTGTGGTTAATCTTTGGCTGAATTTTGGCAGGTTTAATCGTGGTTGGTACCAAGCAGACAGAAATCTTTCAAGGGAGACCAACAGCCCTAAGATGGCATCCTCCCTGTATTCTTCACTTTTTACCACAGGGCACAACTGGAAGGTTCCAACCTTTCCAGAGTGTCTCAGGTCCCTTGTTTCCCCTCTGCCCACCTCCATCCCTACCCTAGCACCTTTCTTTGACAGATAGTGACCAGTTACCATCATGAAACACATGACTTCCCTCATAGGAGGAGAATTCAAGTTCCTTTCTTATTACATGTTTCTACCATCCATACCCTCATACATTCCACCACCTCCACCACACACACACACACACACACACACACACACACACACACACACACCTCAGGCAGGAAACATCAAAGAAGGTGATGTTTAGTTTCACCCACAGGAATAGAGGGGAAAGGAAGGTGTGGGCATTCCTGAGTTCAACCTACAATGCAGAGGCCAAGAAGGTCACTGCAGATAATACAGCCTCAGTTCTGCATAGCACCTTAGATTAGAAATTGAGGATGTCAAGTAAGAGAATTATCCATTTCAAAGGAGAGGGGTAGAAATGAAGGGGCTAAAACAAAGCCTGATTAGACCAAAAATTATAAGCATGTCCTCTTGTCAAAACATACTCTCCAAAACCCTTTTTTTCCCCCAAAAAGAACATAATATGTTTAATATAAAAAGTATGTGGAACACAAATAAAGCAATTTTCTTATTGCCATATTTAATTTAATATTCAATTTTTAAAAACAAGTAATTGAATAGAAGTTCATGGTTTTATATACAATTCTTTTTTTGTCTTTTGCATACCAAAGTATTGGTGTTTGTTGATAATTGCTAAATTTATAATAAAAAATAAAGTTTAAAGTTTGTTTTGGTCTTTTTTAAGTAGTACGTTAAGGGAAAAATCCACAGAATGGCTATGGCTTAGAAGCCCTTTAAGTCCTTGGGCCAGAAGTGAGGGAGCCTTTATGACCAGAAAGTTGGTCAATGGCTTTCCCCTTCCCAGACTTGCACTATTGTTTATTTCAGTCAAACTCTTAACAAGATTACTCTGATCAAGACCGTTTCACAAAAACCAACCCAGCCATAATGTCACTGAAACCATGCTGCAGAGAGAGCTGACCCCAACCTAGAGCAAATGTCTATCACCTTCTGATTTGTGAGGAATAAAGCAATGCTAGGTTGAACGGGAGATGGGCTTGGGCTAGCAGGGGTGAGGAACCTGTGGTACCTCATCCCACGCCTGGGTCACGCCTGCCATCCCACTCAGAGGGCATCCATTCCCTTTTCTCAGTCCCACCTTTAAAATAAGAAACACTGACAATCTAGGGTGGGAAAAGGGGAAATTAGCAAAGACAAAGAAATCGCTACTATCATCATAAACGTTGTATAGTCTCAGGTCTCGGGAAAGGTCTAATTTAAACTTTTAGAGTCTGAATTGGCTACCCCAGAAAGAGGAAGCGTCTAAAGATGAAGAACTAAGCGTCACCTGCGTGGCTGTTTCTATTAACACTGTGTTTTCCTAAACATAATTAATGAGCTCACTGAAACCCTATACTGTCCACAGAGCTGCTGCTGATGCCAGCGAAGGAAAAACATTTCTCTTTATCATCATCACTTAGCATGTTTGGTTATGCTAGACAAACTACAGCTAAAAGCTTTCTCCTCCTCTATTATCTTGCCCTCCCTCCACCCACCAACCTTTCTCATAAATTCACGCCTTACCAAGTAGCTTGTGCTCCACCGCTTGCCGCAGAGACTGGTGACAGAAATGCAATCGGCCGTTCGGCTTCTCCTGGATCCACTGCTTAGTAGCTAAGCGAAAGGCCGCCCAATGGGAGGTGGTGACTTTGTAATGATTCTTATAGCCCAGGATGTCCAAAAGCTGGAGCAGTTCAAGATCAGTCAATCCACAATGGGAGACACTTAACAGACACAACGTGTCCACCACCCAGCCATTCAATCCTGTAGTAAGAGGATACCAAGAAATGTATTGCCACCATTTAAAAACAAATACACCCAGAATATGATTAGAAATTAGTGGCACGGGGCAGCTAGGTGGTGCAGTGGATAGAGCACTGGCCCTGGAGTCAGGAGGACCTGAGTTCAAATCCGACCTTAGACACATAACATTCACTAGCTGTGTGACCCTGGGCAAGTCACTTAACCCCACCGCCGAGGAAAGAAAGAAAGAAAGAAAGAAAGAAAGAAAGAAAGAAAGAAAGAA